AGAGTCTCAGGCCTTAGATAAGTCCTTGAGGTCTCAAGGTATGTTGTTGTGTCCCCTCAGAATCAAGGGCCAGCACAACTTTGACTACCAAGAAAATGAGTCTCATGCTTCTGATAAGCCACTGAGATCTCAGGGTATGTTGTTGTGTCCCCTCAGAATCAAGGGCCAGCACAACTTTGACAACCCAGGAAATGAGTCTCAAGCTTCTGATAAGCCATTGAGGTCTCATGGTATGTTGTTGTGTCCCCTCAGAACCAAGGGCAAGCACAACTTTGACAACCCAACGACTGCAAATAAGCAGGTCATGAGAGACCAAAAGTCTCGCATCTTGATCCAATCCAAGATGAGCCAACCAAAGCATTTGTGGACACCTCTTCTGAAAAGAGTTGTGTGTTTCACCAAGACTAGACCGATAGCTAGGCAGACTGCTAAAAAGTTAACTAGGTCTACTGAGAACCCCTTAAAGAGTAAACTCCTTAAGCTCAGGTCTTTTGCCAGTTTAGTTAGGAACATTAATGATCCCAACCCTAAAGCTGGTAAGGCTTATGTCAAATCCTCTGCAACCAGGCCAGAAACTTCAGTCTGTGCCAGTGCAGCCAAGAGGAGGAAGAACCCTTCCTTTACTTCATCTTCAGATGAAACCCACCAGACCCAGTCTACGGTTGAGACTGTAGGGTCTGTACACTGTCGTAAGCAGCGCTTACCTTTTCTTCCATGTAAATCCTCCCAGATAGTTTCATGGATAAGACGCACTCAGACAGGTATTTTGAACATTGAACTGATCTTTCCTTCATGCCATCTTTTCTTTGTTAAGATTGTTTCTATTCAGAGAAGCGGACAGTCCGCCTTGACTTTCTCTGGGAAAAGACTTTGGTATGTTAGTCGCAGTCGGTCATATCCGCTGGGACGGGGCTACAAATCCCAGTCAGTTGTTAAGGAGAAATTTTTTGTTCCTATTGAGATCCCATAGCAGATTAATTAGGGGATAATTTAGCAGGTGGATTGTAGGTAGCAGAAACAGTATCCAGGCCAGTTTAAGTTTGATATGTGAATATCAAACTTATCTTCGTTGGGCATATGTGACGAGCTGGTCTGGACAGCTGTTTCTGTCCTTTTAAAAAGTGCTTTGTTTAGATAATATTATTACCAAAGTTCTAAACATTTTCCTATTGCTTTTAATTAGCACAATAACACTGGATTAATTAAGAAATTTCCTTACCTTTTTCTTAATGCTTTATTGTAGCAAAATTATAATTAAAGAGTTGAAAGGTAATATAGGCGAAGAGTAGGGCAAGGGGGACTGAAGAGTTACTTCCTCCTGACTTCCTGTTCCCTTTTCAATTCAGAAATTGACCGGTTCAGACTAAAGTTCTTAGTCCGCCTGTGGTCCAATTTTCTGTTTGAATTCCCTGCCAGGGGTGAGTTAAAAGAATAAGTTTAATTTGATGTATTGCTGCTTATTCCTCTGAATTAATTCCACAGGTTAAATTCTGGAATTTAATGCCCACATGGCTCAACAACTATGATAAATTTCTTTATCCCCACTAACCACGTTTATGATCTAGTATGTACATGTATGCAAACATATTTTCTATTTGATGATTGAATTAATGTTTATTTGCTACTAGAAACGTGCATTGGTATTTTTAATTATTATACTTATATTAATTAACTGATAATTATGTCCTCATGTAAAATCTCAGCCAGTCCGGTTTCCAGCATGGTGGGACAATTAAAAAGGAATGAATTGTATATTCATTATACCTAATCCCTTCTAAGTTGATTTTTACCTCATGGTGATATTAGCTTAATAAATCTCTGTCTTGCTTTAATTTAGATTTAGTCCAGATAATTCTGAGACTAGTTTAAGAGTTTGGAAAGTGAATAACACAGTGAGGCTGAATTTAATATTCACACTGTCAGAGAAGAAGAAGCAGAAAAGAGATGTATGGCCCCTGCTTGTAATTATTATTGTTGTATATATATTTCCCTATTACTAGGAAAACATTTCAGTTCTACAGCAGGTGGCCTTACAAATGTAATAATTATATTTCACCCCTCACCACTTCTAAACTCTGCTGAATAAGATTAGCACATGTGTGGATTTAGATTTAAACTGGAGTGAGTGTTGTATATTTTATGTTAATACTGTGACAGATGGAAAGCCCATTGTCATCTATGATTGTATATTTTGACATCTATACCAGCACCCAGTATGGAGATATGTCAATCCCATTTATTTTCAAACAGTGCAAAGCACCTGTTATGAGTTTCTGCTCTTGGTAAACTCACTCCCTGCTTCTCATTCATTGTGATGTGAACCCATGTGGTTAAGATGAGAATATTGTGAAATATGTCTGTGTATGTCTGTGTGTAAGCATGTTAACCCTTTAAAGGAGTACTAGTGTGCAGACATCAGAACAATTTACACTGAGGAATGTCCTTTCTTTTTGTGTGATGTAAACTCTTGTTCTTGAGAGCTTTCATGAAACGGGTTTCCTAAATATTTTCCCATCAGGATTATGAACCATGTTCTGTATACATTCCCATTCTATACCAGTAGAATGTGAACACCTGTTACTACCCCACTCCATATATATATGTGTAGTGTAACAGTTTAAAGACTGGAGGTATTGTTGTCTCCAGTTAGAACCTTCCTGACTGTTTGTATAAGGACTGTTCTATTGTTCTAGTTCCAGATTGTATTCCAGATGGTAGTCCAGAAGTAGATCCTAAGCTTAGCTGCAGATACCCGATTGTCCGGACTGGACTGGAAGATTCGGCCTGCCTGATGTGTTTCCGAAGCTTAGTCAGAAGCTGACATAAGCTACAGCTAAGTGGACAGTTGACCACTTACCTTATATAACAGGATAATTTTATCCACAGCCTTTTATTTAATTATCATTTGAATTTTCAAAATAAATGTAGTTTTAATGTTCTTACAGTTTTCTGAAGTTTCATTTTAACTGTAATTGTGTCAGTGAACAAAAGCTAGTATAACTTTAATACATTTAAATATTCAAATTTAATAACAGTAGGGAATAGATGTGGGCAAACCCAGAATCCTCTCATTTAACCAGCAAGGCTGGGGTTACTATAAGACCGTATGATGTTTCACTGTTTGTAGTTCCCTCTGTAAAGTGCACATAGTGCATTCGCTAGTGTAAAGCGAAGTTACCCGCCACAGTATGTATGTGTGCCCCTTCATGCGGGTGTACTTATTTTTCTAAATATTTTTTATAAATGATTTTTTTTTTTTTTAAATTCATCACTCATTATTCAACGTTCTGCTTATGTCTTCTCTTTCTTGTAAAATGTTTTATATGTATATATATATATATATATATATATATATATATATATATATATATATATATATATATATATATGTATATATATATATATATATATATATATATATATATATATATATATATATATATATATATATATATATATATATATATATATATATATATGTATATATATATATATATATATATATATATATATATATATATATATATATATATATATATATATATATGCGTGTGTGTGTGTGTGTGTGTGTGTGTCAAAGATAACATTTCTGAAATATGGCCTTAAAATAGTAATTTCCGTGCAGTCAGTTATCATGTTCCAATGAAAAGTGGCTACGTTAGCTCTGGCACATTCTCATGCAATGATTTTACACTCTCACAAATGGTATTTGACTAATCTCTTGATGTCATTTCCTCAAATTTTCTCCTTCTTTTACTTCCCGTTCTTCCTTATCTGCTGCCTTCGAACCCCGAATGGAGCATAGTCCCTCAACCATCTCACGCAAAATCGTTCTGTCCTTTGCTGTCACATGCAGCCCTCACCATGTCCTGCCCATCTTTGAAAATTCCTTCTCTTCCTCCATTCTCCGTGGGCTTTTTTGAGTCTTCCTTTATTTCTATGTTCCTGTGGGTTCCAGTGCATAGATATTCTAGTTATATTGTTCCTAGGCTTTCATTACGTGTGTCCTATCCAACGCCAGCGTCTTTTCTTCACTGCTTGGTTTGCTGGAACTCGTTTAGCCATCTCTCAAATCACTACCTCAAAGATTCTATCATACCATTTTATTTCCTCTATTCTGCGCAAGCGCCAGTTAATGAATGTTTGTTCACCGGAGGATAGATAACTCTGGGGGAAAATTCTTGGCTTTTGTCTTGTTCCAGAACTTATGTGCACATTCATTTGACTGATATAGCTTATTCATAACCAGACTTGGTTCCTTGCCTCTCATGCAGATGCATTCTGAATTCGACTGAAACAACCATTATTGCGATATGCTTATTAGGGGGCTGGCTGTAGTATACTCATTGTTTCCCCAAAATGGCGCCCTTAGGTTTCAAAGTCTACCTCTTGCTCTTCTGTCTTCAACTTTTTCTACTAATCTGGATTTTGACATGCTTGCCCTTTTATTCTGCGTGGGACATTTGACTTGTCTTTAATATTTCTTTCAGCGACATTGTTTTCCTTTCTGACTATCTCCAAAACAACGTATATTGAGAAATGGATTACTTTTCTGTATATTCGCTTTCAGTGCCGCAATTCGACATTTTATAATGCGAGTCCATCGTGCAACTATCTGCGTTTTGTAACAAGGCTGAGATTTAATAACAGTTTAATCTCATTTTTAACTCTCTCTCTCTCTCTCTCTCTCTCTCTCTCTCTCTCTCTCTCTCCCTCTCTCTTTATTTCTATCAACAAAATTATTATCTTTACGCTGTAATATCCAGTAGCCTTTACTCGTGATGTCTTTAATTCCATGTGGCTTAAACTGAAAAGTATACAGCATGTGCATATAAAAAGAGATTTTTAAATATCAACGGTTTATTTTCAGCATCTTTATTATTGTATTTTCTTTTTTAACTGCAAAATGTAAACTGTGAACAAAAGCTGAATATCCGGGACCAAAATTCAGTAAAGTTGACTTCAGTGTGCAGCATTGACGCGATATTTGTAGAGTGGAGTTATTTCTGCCGATTTAGACACTGATCAAGTGCCCCACTGGCTGTAATAGATAAACAATGTAAATATTAGCATTAAACTCATATAAAGTAATAAATAACATAAATAACCTGAATAACAATATTGAGCATACCTTCACTTAGTATTTTATCAAAGACTCATATGTGCCAAACTCCAAGACACTGATCGGAGTCTCCAGGGCGGTCGCAGCAAACAGATCATTTTCACTGTTGTTTGGGGTTATGCATGTGTGAGGGAAAATGAATAGGACGATAGGCTGTATAACATGGCTGCTGCGTTTGGTCCTCTCGACATTATTGTTCACAAAGCAAGCAATTCGAATACAGGTAGACAAGATAGCATCCATCCAGCAGTAAGATAGGGTAAGAAATAATTAAATGCCCACTAGTCTCATTTCAGTGTTTCTGTTTCTTGCATGGACACTTTATCCCACTCCTACCCACGACAAGATTTATCCAGCCTTCACACAAGTGTAATGTTTTTAGTCTGCGCCATTCAAGACCTTCCGCTTAACAGTATGTGACCCTTAACTCTATCTAGGGCTTCATGCTGAAGGTGCTTCTTGTCTGCGGCTACTCTAAGATATAACCTAACTGACTTTCAATTTGTTTAGACGGTGACCTTTGTTTGAACTTATTACGGCTAAATCCACAGTTTCTGCATTGTGTCAACGATCAAATCTGTATCATCAGCATGCCCCAGATTAATATATTGCAGCATTAGCTGAAATACCCATAACATACTGTAAATAATATCTTTATAACTGAGTGTCTGGCATTTACTAAAAAAAAACCAGTCTAGTTTTTAACCCACATTTTACATACATGTTCTAGAAATATCATGAACCAAAAAGAGAAAGAATACTGACTTTTGTCGGGATTATAATATCACATTTAGATTGGGGAGAGTGGGGGAAACGGGGTGGGGAGCGGGGGAAAAAAAAAAGGGGGGGGGGGGGTCATCAACAGTATCGTCTCGCGGAAATTGAAATTCTTCAGCCATATTAAATGTAAAATGTTTCTATTTTTTTCAAGAAGGAGCTTGGTTCTATATGAAAGGACAGATCTTGCACAGCATGACCGGGAACGCAGTATATCAAGAAGGTCCTTGGCTTACAAGCTCACGAGGCGGGACAGTTGACCAGAGACCGAATGACTTTCTGGAGTGCCGTCATGGGAGCCACATTTTGCAAAGGACCTTCTATACGATGATGATTCTTTTTATAATAGAAATTGTTGTGCAGTACTGGAGTGTGCATTTCTTTTTCAATATCTGTCTGAGAGATGGCTATCCTAACATTTGTGGGGCATCAAATGGGGAAGTGAAACTCTATCCAGAAGTGGATGAACATGAACATCGATTAAGCGGCGAAGCTTTACTCTTATGCATTATGTGACTGACGGCCAGAATCGGGTTTCAAGTGGTAAAACATTGTAAACGGACCGGATATTCAAGACACTCATTTAATATTAGGCTGTAAAAAATACCCTTTTTTAATCAATTTTTTTTTCGGGTTCTTTATAATGTTTATCATATGTAATAGAAGATGTTTGTATTACTCATTATAGGGTTGACATTACCATATGTGGTATATTACAAAGATAAATTTGTGTGTGTGTGTGTGCGCTCGCGCGCACGCTCTTCATTGCAATAAAAGAGAAGCTGTGCGTGTTAAGAAGTTATTAAACAATGATCATTTTGAAAAGGAGTTGTCATGGTTCGTGTTGCAGAGATAACAGAGAAATCGGAGTAAACAGATGTATCATGTATCAGACAATGCAGCTGCTTCATAACCATGATTATATATATATATATATATATATATATATATATATATATATATATATATATGAATATATATATATATATATATATATATATATATATATATATATATATATATATATATATATATATATAAGACTGGGTTAAATACACAACTGATTCTCTTTGTTTTTATTTTAGATATTTAAAACAACAAGGTTAATTATATATTTTTTACAATAACCTCTTTATTACTGAGGTAACCGACAATTGTTGATATAAAACCACGTTATTTATGTACAGACACACACACATACACCCACACACACACACACACACACACACATATATATATATAGATAGACAGATAGATAGATATACAGAAAGAGAAAGAGAGAGGAGAGAGGCAGGCAGACAGACTGAAACAGACAAAGAGGCAGACAGGGACAGACAGACAGACAGACAGACAGACAGACAGACAGACAGACAGACAGACAGACAGACAGACAGACAGACAGACAGACAGACAGACAGACAGACAGACAGACAGACAGACAGACAGACAGACAGACAGACAGACAGACAGACAGACAGACAGACAGACAGACAGACAGACAGACAGACAGACAGACAGACAGACAGATGACCGTATCATAGTCCCATAGCAAAGCGCATCATCTTACTACTCTGTTCAGTTCCTATCATTTCTCTCTGTGTTATGCAGTAACTTAATGTTTACATATTCAAGGCCCGTCCTGTCAACTACATTCCGTATTCACATCGTCTATGGTTTGTCACGTCTATTGATCTCCCTTACAGAATTCTGTAATATCGCTTTAGAGATGCCAAAATAACTTGCTACACACCGGCACCGTGGTGGCGTCCGCCTAGAGTCCTGCAGGTCCCGAGTTTGGGCCCCGGTGAAGGTTGGTATTTTTTTACGAGGACTTCTAGCAAATTCCCCCTGGTCTCTAGGTAGTGAGATCGGATGCCCGTGTGTATGGTTGCGCACGTAAAAAAAATCCCTTGGCAGTTGGAAATCGAAAAGTGTAGACTAACGGCGCCACCCAAACAAAATTTGGAATTAAAAATCTACCTAAAGTATTTCAGGATCATCGCCAGTGCTACGGAACTCTTGCTCTGCGCTGAGATTCTTCAGAATCAGGCTTGAATATGCGGCGATGTTGATCCGTTGTTTAAAACAAACATAAATACCGAAACCGTTGCTGCAACTGTGTCCACTGCTGATTAGGTGAAGCTCGTCTTTTGTGCCGTAGTCGTTATATAGATAATATTGTTTAATATATATTGTACATCTGCTTTCGTTTTGTGTTGGCATCTGTAGCTAAAGCGTTGCCAACAAGGTTTTACGTAGTACCCTGATACCCGGTTCGATTCCAACTGTGGGCGATTTGACAGCAGTCTAAACTGTTTTTCTTTCGACACCTGGCATCGATATCTGACCGTCAGTACACAGGCAAAATGCTGCTCGAAAAAGATCACAGACATCACCCACAAATAATGCTGAGGTTTGTTCTTCAATATCATGCAGAGGATACACAACTAACTTTAAAAAAAAAAAATCTATGTTTCTATTTTAGAGGCAATTTTTGGTAAACAAGCGCTTTATTATTGTGAATATTATAAAGACAAGAGACAATTATTCTCCTACAGATGTTTCATCAAAGTTTTCATTATAGAGATAACAAACAATGCGTCTCTCATAACTGCCTTCTTCGCCTGTTATTCTGTGGGGTTTGACGGAGCATGGCTAAACTAGCAAGTGAGAACTTTTAAGGATGAAAACATGAGCGGTGGGATTGGAAGGACAGGTCAAGACGACAGGTATAAGTAGATGATAGTAGAGAGACAAGACAATCGGCGACCGGGTCACCCATTCGCACGCCGATAGACGACTTTATTGCCTAACGCGACAGTATTTGGATGTGTCTCCTTTTATCGCATCAATTGCCCGGCTCCCTAGCGTAGTTGGCTAAACCGGACTGCGCGGTGACCGGGTTACGAACTTCTTGTGGTCCGGGTTCATGCTCGGGGGTAGGCAGAAAAGCCACATTTCTCCCAGATTTACGGTATTTATCATGGAATCAAGGCCGAAGGGTTGCGATATCCACAATACCGAGCCTAAGGGTTAATCACTCATGGTTTTTGGATTATTTAAAAAATTCGCATAAACTCTATAGAGTCCTTTTCAGGGCTCTTGGTGGCGTACAATGCGAAGCTATTTTATTTGGCGCATAAACTCTAGTCACAATTATAACCTCAAACTCTTCCTTCCGTGTGCTTGTTGTACGTGACGATTATTTGTTCAGCAAAGTACCTATGAATAGAGTGTAGATATCATTTTAACATTGAATAGTAATTAATGATTCATACGAGCATAACCCTCGACGAGTGACCCTCTACGATTGTCATTAATATGTCTGCTCTATCGTTGCCTTTCACTAGTATACTATTTGTTTTCTCCAAGTTACCTCCTATGAGTATGTTACTCGTAGTAATCTGTACTCCTAAATTAACTCTCCAAATCCCAAACAACGTCTTATGTGTTAATGAATCTACCTCTTGATTCTCCTCTATGTACGTAACCTATGTACGATTTTTTTTTCCAACTTTCAGCTAGAGAAATATTATCATCATGTGCCTTGCCGACTGGCGTGGCGATCATTCCTCTCCACAATCCGCGATCTCCTGCAGCATGTATCAGTTAGTGTTCTGACACACCTCCATGCCATGCAACAAGAATCTTCTCTCGTTGTCTTCCTCTATCCCTCCTTCCACAGATCTTTTTAGTATCCTCAGTATGTTCCATTTTGTGTCTATAACATGGCCTAAGAATGACGACTGTCTCATTCTGATGCCTGTGATAAGTTGTGTTAATTAAAGTAATATGGCTTTCTCAAATGGTCACGGCCACTGCGTATACCGCCGTTTTGAATGTAATGCGTTCATAATTTTTCATCATGTTTTCTCTTCACATTGTAATCTCTTGTGAAACCTTTTGGCAATTATTCGTCTAGTCTGTATCCTCCTACATAACCTCATGTTTGTGGCGCCTTTTTGTCTGCCAAGACGCATAAGTTCAGTGGTGCTATTATGTTGTTTGTACAACGGATCAACATCATGGCACAAGTGTTCCGTTCTACTTCTAACTCAAGCCTGAGTTTGAAAAATCTCAACATCAGCGAGGATCCTGACATACTTTGGGTAGATTTTTTTAACTCTAGAGTGTGCCCGGGC